GGCCCACGCCTGGGCTGAGTGGGGGAGTCCCTCACCCGAGACAGGTGGCCTTGTCCTGTCTAGGAATCCCGAGAGGCCGCACTGGAGTCCCCAGCAGTGACAGGGAACACAGGCAGATGACAAGCTGCCAAGGTGCAGGGTAACAGTTGCTAGGTGACACGCCTGCCCCCCTCTCCCCCGGTCCGGTCTCTTGTGGGGAGGAAACTTGGGAAGCTTATCCTTCAGTTTCCACACCCAGTCCCACGGGAGGCCCTGTCCCCTGATCCCCCACCCAGGCTGACTGTTTAGCAGCGCTAAATGGCAAGCCCAGAGGTGCAGGGAGGGAAGGGGCCAGGGTAATGGACTCCCATTGGCTTCCTTCACGAGATCACTGCCTTAATTTACGAGGCCTGAGTGAGTCTCATTTCCCCAGTGCGCGTTGAGTAATTAACTATTAATAAAAGCATTACTGAGTTAACCACGGGGGCATGTTTAATTCATGGGGCAGCCCAGGAACAGGATGAGAGGCAGGGCTCAGTGGGGGATTCCTCCCAGGGCAAAATATTAACAGCAGGATGTCGAAGCTAGGCCTACAGCCCCCCTGCCGTGGACCATTATTTCCGTCCCTAACCAGAGAGGCCCACTCTCAGGAGGTTATCTAGACTGCCTGCCCCCCTTGCCAGCCGGCTGCAGAGTGAGAGGTGGAGAGGGTGGGACCCTGGGAGAGGTGAGCCCCGGGAGAGAGAGCTTCCTGCTTGGTGTCTAACGCGGTGAGTGACCTCGGGCAGGTCCTTTAGCCTCTCTGAGCCTATTTCTTATCTGGAAAGTGGGGCTGTAGGCAGGGCTAAAGGAAATCGAAAGGACCTGTAAAGGGCTCCAGACTTTCAGGAGGACCCTCCTCCCCCTCTCACATAAGAGACACCAGCCACTGTTGAGTCAGTAAGGGGAGGGAAGACACCTCCTTGTTCTGGAGAAGCTGGTGGAACAGTCTCCACCGGGTTTCCTCATGGGGCCCATAGGCTTTTCAAAGGCAGGTCAGCAGCCCCCTTCTAGCCCTCTTTCCCTACACACACCTCTGGCCAGCCAAAGTGAAATAATTCTTACCGCCCAAACCACCCTCCCCCCACTCACCCACGCCTCTGTGCCTTTGTTCTTCCCTCTGCGTGGTGTGCATCTCTGCTTTGGTCTGTTTAGCAAACTCCTGCTTAGTTCCTGACTCAGTTCCTGGAAGTCTTTGCTTTCCCCCTGACCCAGACAGAATCTGTTATTCCCTTTTCCATGCCTCCCAGACATTCCTCTATTATGGCATCTACTCATCCACTACCCGACCACCCTCCATCCACCCTTGCATCCATCCATCGTCCATCCTTTCAACTGAACACCTATGATGTGCATCTCTGATCTCACTGAGTTCCGGACAAGTCTGGTCTTCCTTAGGCCACCAGGTCTTAATCTTTTGGGGGTTAAGGAATTCCCCCAGAAAAATGCACAGAAGCACATATATTCCAGACGTTGCTTTCCTCTTCAGGGGTCTCCGGTTGTCCCTGGGTAGCTGTGGGGCTGGGTTCAGATGCACTGCTGGGAATGAAGGACTTACTCCCAAGAAGCAGGGGTGGGGGAACAAGGCTAGAAGACCGTCCCCACCTGTCGACCTTGGAGGGAGGTCTTAAAGGGTACCAGGCCCACTGCCAATAACAGGTCAACTCTGCTTGCACCCCCACCCTGTGGTTCTCTGAGGGCTTCCGTGGAACAAGGAAAGCCCTGGACCTCAACCTCTCCCTCTGCCAAACTCCCTGTCCCTCCCGTCCCTTCTTAGTCTGCCTCTGTGGCTTCCCTCCCTCTGCTGGGTAAAAGCCCTGCAGAAGTTCCTTGAGGGCAGGGATAGTATTTTATTGTCAACTATTATCTCCAGCAGCTAGCACTGGGCAGGCACGCTGTAAATGCTCCAGAAACATTTGCTGAATGCATTCTAACACATTTTCTTCAGATCCTTGGTGCTGTCCCCAGCAGGAGCGTTCTCATTAGACATTAGGAGAAAGGGACGGCCTGGCCAACAGACGCCAGCAGGGCTGGGAGCTGTTGGGCTGTTTCAGGGAAATGTATTAGTTGCCAACAAAACTGTAAATAACCATGGGAATAGAAGGCACAGTAATGGTTGCTTTGGAGCAGGGGAAGGGCCTGGCTCCCATGGGGGCTATGTGGTTGGGCCAGCCTGGACCGCTGGCAGTAGTGAGAACAGCCCATCCTTTCAAAGCTAGAGCTAGAGCCCGTGAAGCCTCCACTTTGGTTTCCACTATTGGAAATCCCTTCACAGAATAAGTTTCTATTAAATGGCTCCCGTGTGCCAGGCACTGTACCAAGGATGGGGACCTCAGAAGACCTGGGCTCTGATGCTGGCTGCTCCTCTCCCATGTGTCGTCACCCGGGAAGGTTATGTGACATCCTCATCACTGATATTTATTGAGAACTAATGACTGTGTGCCTGGCACTGGGCAAACTGCTTTACACACGTTATTCTGAAATATTTTCACAGTTGCTTCACTGGGAAATATATGTATACTACTATTATTTCTTTCTTATAGGAAAGGAAACAGGCTCAAAGGCATCGACAACATGCCCCAGCAGATCACAGGGCAGGAAGAAGCAATGCCCCAAGGGTGTCTTCTTGGCCACTGTGTGCTTAGTTTCCACAGCCATGAAACAGATACCGATCCCCACTGCACTGGCTTGCTGGGGTCTGAATAACCTCTGTGAAGGGCCAGAGGGTGCTTAGTGAGTGGTTCCCTGTTTTGTTTTGTTTTGAGACAGAGTCTCTTTATTAGTTCAGGCTGGCCTCGAACTCATGGTAATCCTTCTGCCTCAGCCTCTCAAGGGCTGGGATTACAGGCGGCACCACACCGGCATCCCCTCTGTTCTTTCTTCCTCATTGCCTACCCCTTGCCTCTCTCTTCCTTGGGCTGGGAGGATGACTCCAAGGACAGATATCTCTGTCCTCAAGTCCAATGGAGTCTGTCACCACTCCCTGAATGCTGCCACCCTAAGTGGATGATCTGCAGTCCATACCTGTGGTTCTCTGGACTACAAATTGGGTGTGTGTGTGTGTGTGTGTGTGTGTGTGTGTGTGTGTGTGTGCAACTCAGTCCATCACTAGTCCATGATGTAGACAGCCGCCGCAAGGACTCTCCTGGAGCCACATAATGACTCTGGGGCCACTGGGAGTTTCATGGTTGCACAGCAGAGTGGAGCAGATCTTCAGTTGGTGAAGATCCTTGAGCTCCCAAGGCAGACACAGGCAACAGAATGAAGATGCAGGGCCTGCCTGATGGCTCAGGTCTCTCCCACAGCAAACTCCAGCTTGTTCTCCTCCCCACCACAACACCGACTGCAGATGTCTTCTTATATTGGGGCCATTAACCTTCCCTCCACTGTAGGCTCCTGGGAGAGGCAGTGGGCATGTAAGCACTTAAAACTTGAACCTGCAGGTCAGCCCTCCCCTCTACTCCCCCTCCTGCAGAGGCCTGGACCAGGGGACAGATGCCCACAGCCTTGGAGAGAACAGCTTCCCTCAACCTGTGCAAGCACCGTGTTGCCATGGTGATGCCGCCCCCCTCCCCACCACGTAGTGGCTTAAGACAGCATGGATGGTTTGAGGGATGAGGGTGGACACTGTCTGGCCCAAGTGGCCAGGTGACGAGGCAGGCTGGGGGTGGGAGGAGCCGCCCTCCAGGCTTTGCTGGTAATTGCTGCTAAGTGAGGGGCTGTCATTGAACCCAACATGTGTGTGGAGAGGGCTCCTGCGCTGCCCCCTATAATTACTGCACCAGACAGCAGCCCTTGCTCCTGTGCCCAGGAGAGGGGCCGTGGGCTGACAGGAAGCTCTCAGCCACCTGAGCCAGCGAGGCTGTCCTCTCCCTGCCTCTCCTGGCTGGCCCTTCTGTGTCATCCAGCTGGAACACTAGCTTTCTTTAATCCTGGCCTCAGAGCTCAGAGAATCAGGGGGAGAGGGGTGCAGGAGCCAGATAAGGCCAGCTCAGGAGTACCCTTGGTGCCCCACCTCTGTCTGCCGAAGGCAACTGGGAAACTAAGTGGGAAGCCAATCCTGGTTGTAATTCTGCCTGCAGACAGAGGCTTGGAGGGCCTGGGGCCAGTAAGCCTGGGCCTGGCACTCAACATTTCTCAAGGATTCTTCTACAGCAGGGCTGGCAAAAACCACAGATGCAAGCCAGCTTACTCCTGTAAAGCAGGTTTCCCTGGGACGCAGCCACACCCTTTTGTTTCTGAGTCGTCTGTGGCTTCTCCCATGCTATAACGGCAGAGTTGAGAAACTGTAATAGATGCCATATGGTCCCCATGCTGAAAATATTTACTATCTGTCCCTATAAAGTTTGCAGACTGGTTCCTGAAGTATCCAGATTCTCCAAGGTTTAACTGAGCGAGTGCTAGGGGTCCAGCCCAATTAGGCCAGTTTTATCACAAGCCGTGTCCTGGTCCTCTCCCAAGGACCCTCGTCTGCCTGGGCTTGGACACTGGCCACAGTGGGGCTGGGTTTGGAGCCAGTGTGGGCCAATGGCGCCACCTGCTGTGAGAGCCAGAAGCATTCTGGGGGGAGCACTGCCCCAAGGGGCAGCTCTTGCCACAGGGCCCTGGGCTTGTCCCCTATCCTCCTCACTTTACTGCACACTAGAGAAGGGGCTGGACTTGGCCAAGGTAGATGAGTAGAAGGCTCAGGTTCCAGGAGCCCTCCCAGGAGGCAGCACATGAACATACATGGAGGCACAGACCTGGCTATGAATATTTGCCTGGCCACTCATTAAGTTCTTTATCTTTTCTAAGTTTTGATTTCTTAAAATAACAACTTAATCCATTACCAGCATTGGCAACAATCTTTAGAAAGCTTCTGAATAGGTATCAGCCCCATTTCACAGATGGAAAAACTAGCACAGAGAGGTTAAGGTCAAACAGCCAGCGACAGCCAGGATTCATACCTAGGCTGTGAAAATGTGTAGGTCTCCAGAATACCGTACTCAGAAAATATTCATTTATTTTCTGCCTGCAGGTGTGGTGGTGCCCCAGGGAGTGGGCACTGGGGCTCAAACAGAAGATGAAAGATGCAGGAGGCTGGGTTTCAGAACAGCCACTGAGGGAGGCCCCAGGCAGGGAAAAAGGGGAGAGGCCATGGCTCTTCTTGTCCCCACACTGCCAGGCAATGCGAGTGGCCAGTGGACCGTGAACCATTTATTTCCAAACTATAAATAAATCTGCTCTCTGAGGAAGATGCTGTCCAGGTGATGGGGCTCCAGCCTCTCCAGGTCCCCTTCCCAACTGCCCTGCAATCCACAGTCCTTGGAAAACCGCTATGCATTTAGTCCTGGCTCTCAGAGCGTGGTCAACAGTGAAGAACCAGTCTGGCCCCTTCTCCAGTGATTCTGGCATAGCATGGGTCCAGCTCCAGGCACCTCATTACCCGTGCTCTGAAGGGAAGATGGGAGCCACAAACCCTGCCCTAGCTCCATCACAGGGTTCCGGCCAGCGGCTCTCAGTTGTTGTGAAGAAACACCCTGGCCCCAGGGCTGCTGCCCAGCATGCAGAGTGGTGCTGGTTGCTGGGTGGCCTGCTTCCAAGTTCCTTCCAGGCTGGTCACTGCTGCCCCTGGACCACAAATTACTCTTCCTCATTGTCCTCGTCCTCCTGCTGGCTGGTCCGAAGCAGCAGCTCCATGTCAGGGCTGGAGCCCAAACTCTTCAGAGGTTTAGAGCCACTGCTACCTTGGGGTAGAGATAAGAGCATGGACCCAGGAAGTGTTCTGGATGTACCCTGACCAGCATGCATGCCCAGTCACCCAGGCCCCTGCCCCTGTGGAGATGACCCCGCATTCTCCTGGGGGAATGGGTGGTGCAGTCCCACCACACATACTTCTGAGCTAACACAGCAGCCAGTGAGAGGAGGCTGGCCTGGGGAGAGAGCCACCGGACTGCCACACTGGAGAGGCAGGTGGCTCTCCCAGGTATGGCTGGAGATGGGCAGAGGGGAAGACACAGGCACTAACAGTCACAGAGACAATGACATCTGGAAGGGCTCCTGTTACCTCTGGAGTGCAGGACTTTGAGGGCCACGTGTAAGGATATTCCCGAAAGGCAGAGGGCAAAGCCCAGCCAGTTCACCAGGGTGATGTGATCGCCCAGCAGGTGAGCTGCCAGCAACAAAGTGCAGACCTCCTGGGGGCAGAGAAACAGAAAAGGGGCTGTTCAGCAGGAGCTGGCTCCTTCACAAGGACAGCAGAGGGTGGAGGGCCTGAGGACACTCAGAGGCTAGGTCCAGAAGTGCCCCGACTCCTGCCCAGGCAGGACAGGCTGGCCTGCGGGGCAAAGAGATCAGGGGACCGGGCTGACCTGCCAGCCTTGGCTACTGAGATGCAGCTCTCCATGGAATTGTGCCAGGAACTGAAGCAAAGCAGACCCAGGCTGGGCACAGGGCTGCAAACCCTGCATCTCCGCAGGAGCGAGGGAGAGCTATCCTTGCAGACAGAAATGCAGCGGGGCATCTCTGCTTTCATGGGCGGATGCTGCATCACACTGGGCTCTGAGGACACACACTGTCCCGGGACGCTTCCCCAACCGGGACTGCAGAGGGCACGGGTCAGACAATCCATTCTGAGAGCCACAGCTCCTGTCCCAGGCTCTGGTTGGCAGCCAGAAGGCCTGTGGGGAGACCTGCACTTCTGGTGCTAGGCAATGCTCCAGTACGTGTGCTGGTCAAAGAGAAAACGCTCTTTGTGGCCCTGAGCAGGGAGGACTGGAGAAATGGGGATGGGGGAGTGAGCAGAGAGGGGAGAAGAATGGGGAAGGACAGGGGAGTCTGCTTCAAGGTGGCAGTAGAGGCAAGACTGGCAACACATGGCATCCACACAGGATGTAACCATTCTGTGTCCACGGCAGACACTGCCAGGCAATTACGGAACTCAACTGATGAGCCTGGGTGCGGGCTTCCCAACCTATGGCCCCAGGACACTGCCATGTGACCAGAGCTGGCATGCAAGGTCAAACCCATGACTAGTGGAGTCAGACCTGGCTTTGAATCCCTAGCTGTACCCCTGGGTAGGTCCAATTCCCCATCTGAGTGGGAAGATGACATTCACCCACAGGGCTATCAGGATGGTGCAAACAAGCACAGTGCTATCACCTACCCAGGCCCTTCTGTCTCTTCTCCAAAGGGCCTGGGGGTAGAAGAGCTGGGACAGAAGCTGCTGGTAAGAAACCTTATGGGCTCCTTCTAAGAAAGGACTGGGGTCACCTCTAAATCTGTACCTTGAAAATGCCAGCAATGGAGAGTGTGAGGCTGGAGGTTCTGGAGACCAGGAGGAACTCAGAAAAGCCCAATCCAAAGGCAAGAATCCCGCCAAGGAAGAGGCTCCCGAGCACCCGCAGGAGCAGCCCTGTGTCCTGGAAACGGAAGATTTTCTCAGACGTGGACAAATGGAGACCTGAAAGCAATGGGGAGAGAGAGTGGAAGGCCAGCCCCTGGAGCACCTCAGTCCACCCTGCCATCAACCAGATGAACTCTGTTATCACTGCAGTGAACACTCTGAGCGCCTACTGACTGTCTACAGCCAGAGAAAAAGAACGGGAGGTACCAAATAATCCCACACAGATGGCCTGAGGCTTGGGGACTCTGCTGGGGACAGGGATAGCTGCCAGGGAGCCCTAGGGCAACACAAGTCAGTGACACTTAAGGGGAATGATCTGAACCTATGGCTGCAGCAGAGAAGCTGGCACTGCATAGAAAACCCAAGGCAGAGCAACACTGCTTCAGAATGGTTGCTTTTTGGTGTTGGGGATGGAACCCAAGGCCTCATGCATGCTAGGTAAGGACTCTGCTACTGAGCTACTCCATAGCCCAGATCTATGGGACTTGGGGCGAGATGTCCCCTTTCTGGACCCATCTCCTTCCTGATAAAACAACAGGACTGGGACTTGCCTGGTGTTTCTCCAACAAGCAACGTGATTCACTCAACACACACACACACACACACACACACACACACACACAC